CAGCAAAGATCGCCGCTCGATCCACGATTGAAAACCGGCAGGGAGGCTCCTTGGGAGGCTGGACGTGCAAAATGCACGCAAAAGTCTCGCCGCAATCAGTAGCCACGTACAACGACTCGCTGCGCGATCACAGTCAGGCCAAATGACTGACCTCAACCCTTTGGGAGGATACCTCGGGTCTTTTGCTCACTGAAACTCATAGCCAAAGAGTCGTTACAGCTGTTCAACACCACCTATTGGTCCACACACCAGCACCCATGCGTTCCCGCCAACCTCAATTAAGGCGATTCCCAAACAGCCATTGTGTTTCATAACAAACGTGTCTAACATTGGACCTCTTGGAAACATCCACCAGATCATTCCGTATCACTTCGAATCTTCCAAACATCTACCATATGTGTTTTCAGGCTATCACTAATGCACTCTTGCAAATGCATTGCATCCCATATTTGCAAATCATTGCCTAATAATTTTTCCACAGTCAGCGCCATTATTGACTGACTATTCACAATGCTCATAACCATTTGTTATCTCTTGCATTATTCTTATGTCGGCCCTCTTAAACCGACGCATGCTCAGCTTCTTGATAGGGAGATGTAGGCAGCTTTGTCCACTCGCCCGAAGTTGCCCCCCTCACATTTGATCATATTTTGATGGCATGCCATGGCATGGCCAGAATATACATACTGATCCAGCCCCAATGGACAGATCTTGCACCGTTCGTTAGTCGATGCACGTGCCAGCTTCAAGACCACGTCGGTGAGCTCCTCCAAACGGCTCCATTCATCATAAACCAACTTGCGAATGGATTCTAGCCATTCTAGGGGTGAATCCTCGCGTATGGTGCCATCGCCCATCGCCACCGTGCGATTGAACATTTTGGAACTCAGTCAAATTCGCGCAGCCAAATCTACTTCTCGATATGCATGGCTTATGACTTCAAAGCACCACAGCTCACGCCTGCTATTGCACCCTGCTACACTTCTTCTAGCTAAGTCGCGCTCCATGGCGCCATTTCTCAAGCAATTCCACCAATTCCATGGCCCCACATGACTCAGTGCGCATTCCCATTGCAGCACCCCGACCTAACCATCTAAAATATCCTGAAGTCCAAGTCCAATAATTCTTTGGACTGTCTTTTCAATCACCATGTTGTAAATTTCTTACTATTTCCTGATCCGATGGTGTTTCTTCATGTTATGTCGCCCATCTCATGTCATGCTACTATTATATCATTATCCAGTGAAACTTACGGATACACATGTGACTCAACAAACATCACAACGTTATGCAGCCCTATCCCCAGCCCCAACCCCATGGTACAAGCCCTTGCGCACCTCAAGGCAGCTTAATAGGGGGTATGCTTTCGTCCACTTATGGCCCAAAGCCACCTTGAGTAAATCTCGCATAGCCAATCCAACTGCATTCTCATGCTTCCGTTTCTCGACCACCAACGCCCATTCGAAATGGTCCTCTTGAGTCTGAATGACTTGCGCACCATCCTTTCTGCTCTCGCAGTTGACACCGAGGTCTTCCAATTACTTGAGCCTCTTGTTGACTGCATCCAAAGGAATGAACTTCTCCAGGCAATCCTCGTGGCTCCTCCCAGCAGCCACATTCGCAGCCAGGGACGGTCCCGAGCTGTTCCCGGTCGACGCCTTGGGGTTGGCAAGGCCGGCGCACGTCCACCCGGTCAGATTCGCGCGTGCTCCAATCGCCCATGCCACTGGTACATGCTCTGCATGCACCCAGCCCTTGAGGTCTCCCCAACCCTCATATTTTCTTTGTTAATAGGCCAAACTGCATCAAATTTCTCCAACTGTTAATAGACTAATCCCACTACGTGATGGAACAGGTCCCCTATCCAAAGCCCTATCGAGTTGTCTCAATGAATTGATTGTGCATCACAGAAATTGACTAAAACTGCCCTATCTTTGTTGTGTAAACTACCAGGGGGTAGCCGGTTTACTCAAGTTATCTATTGGGAAGGAATAACGATATAAGTTTGTATCTGGATTGGGCTGAGGAGGCTGTTGGATTTCCATAGGTCTTTGCTGCATCCAAAACGGGTTAGCGGTAGAGGAGTTATACCCTATTATAGTTGCAGTACTTAAGGATTGGCCCCTACCGTAGTCGGGGATGAGATACTATCGATACGGGTACATTCAGTACACCGTTCTGTCAGTTGTTCACTGCCCTACATTTTACCACAAGCATACATTGATAGCCCCACGGGTCGCGCATTCATAAGCACCATGTTGCAAGAGTCTCTCTGCCTGCAAAAAAGTTCCTTTTGTCACGTCAAAATGCCAAATCAATGGACAGAATTGAATAACATATACGTTGCGCATATCTCTATATTGCTTCTGTTCCAAAAGTTTTGTCCTTTATTTAAATCGCACAAACGGAAATCAAAACATGCTGGTCACAAGATTTTGACAGAAGAACTTCGACGCGCCATATTGTAGAGCCCTTCAGCCCGGTAAGCCGCGCTTCCGTTCTTGGGATATGCCAAGAGAAACGCAGACGCCACTTTCTCTTGTGTCAGGACCTAGATCGGGGTATGGGGAGCCCGTCTTGCCCTTTAAGAGGTGGATCTAGTTCAGCTGTCTCCAGGAAAGATGATTGGCCTGGCGGTTGATATACATTGAAGATTCGGGCAAATTCAAAGCAACATCCACAGAGCAAGAGATGCCGGCTTGTCGCGTATTTTTGGTTGTCAACAGGAATTGTGCTTATGTTGGGGCTAAAGGCCAAAAAGCACGTAGATTAGTGCAGGAGCATTGACCTAACAGGTGCGCCAAGGTGAGGAAAGCCGTGCATGCTGATACTAAACCGAGAACGGCCTAAGTTGATGCCAACATGGTTGACCGTTGAAATTGGCAATTTCAAAAGCATGAGTCAACACAGCGGAAGAGATGGTCCACAGAGGGTGTGATTGCGATGATGTCAAAATTCTTTATAAGTGGTAGTAGTGCCTATTTATTGCCAACAACAAAGTTCTTTAATAATTTTCGGGAAATAGCTGGCGCACATGGGGATCAACTGGGCACAAAACTGTGGGGAATTGAGACCCTGGCAAATATGTACATGGACGGTAAGGCTGTGTATGCCTTGCTGTACGGTAATTATTATTGTAATCAAGACCCCCATTACCCCAAATTGACCAAGGAATCCGAATCTGGTGACAGGTTCACTAGTTGAGTTGATCTTGCAAAGTTATGGCAAGATTGGATAACGGACAAGACTTGCGGATCGGAGGTGGTACAAAGATAGCTGCCGAGAGCTCCTGTCTTCAGAGACGAGCATCGCGTAAAAGGTGGAACGATATCCTCTCCCAACGTGAGTCTCAGAAAGTATCGTGCTTTTGGCTCATTGCTCTGGCAGCTGCTGCAACAATTCTTCTACACCACTGATTCTTTGAACCTGAACTTCTGCCCTTCGGCTTTTACCCGAAGAAACATAAACCAATGGCCACAGTGAAATCACAAATTCAACGCCTGCGTAGATGTTCTGCCCAATTTCACGACGAATGACAATTTAATGGCTTTAGTGGACGTTAACATTGACCTGATTGGATGCTGAAAATCAACTCAATTTCTTCTTTCGCCACGTTGCTGGGGCGGTTGTAGGAGAATTTCGCACAGAAACTCATGTCAGTGACCCTGGTCCATGCTGCGGTAGTTTGATGCGCTCTTTCTCCTGGACTTGGTGATCCGGAACTGACGGAAAATGGGGGGAATACAGGATTTTGATTACGCCACTTGATCCCTTTCAAGGTCAGTGTGCGCGATGTTTAGCGATTTAACCCATTTAATCAGTGATTCGAATTGTGCACAAAAGGTAATTCAGCACCTCAGTATCTCAGGAGTACATCAGAAGAAACACTAGTTTTTGCGATGCAAACTACGATGCCATTTCACACTAGTAGACACAGTCATAACTACATTTTTGCCATTATGATCAATGTAATAGCTCCACTCAGCCTCAAATGGGCACGGCAGATGGCATCAAAGAATGGCACTTTGTCCAGTGGCATTATTGTCCTACCCGCTATGGGCTATTACCCCATAAATATCGTTCTTAAAATTGTTTGCCAATCCTGCAGCGACGCCAAGGCTGCGACGTTGCACTGTAGGCTGCCTTCCTGCACCGTTGGGAGCAAGGAAATTGCCGGGCTTCGCGACACAGTATCACAGGGTGGGCATGCAACTGTTCGCCGCTGGGGATTTTGGGCTCATCCAGGAACGCCTACTGTGAAACACGGCACTGGAAAACATGCCGGCCTCACGCCTGTCCATTTTTGAGCATCGCAAATTGTTGATAATCGTGCATTAGCGGCCCGCCATTCTGGAACGTTGTACAACTAATGCAGCACTCTGGCAGCGCAAGCAGCACAGGTGGCCAATACTGTATCTAGTGCCGCCGGCCATGTCAAACCGGGACCGAAATCATGTAACCTTGGCCTCAACACATCCAACAGAAAATTGTGTTCCCAGTTGTCATCCGCTGATTTCCGTTCCCATCTGGGTCGACACCAGCTTCCCAAGCTCGCCGCTGCGGTTCCCAGCACAGCCGGCCGGACGCGGAAGCAGCCGCAATCCCCTTCGCCGCTCAGAACAACTCGGAACAAAGTGCTGCTCGCAAGTACTGCTCGCAGCAAAGTACAGCTCCGTGACCCGCATTGAACGGCGCGCAGGCGAAGGGGACCTGTACATTGAACGCTGGCCACCGGCACACTAATCCTGCCCCCGCCTCTCAAAAGGGCGCCACGGGCGCCGCCCTCCAGTCACGACATGGCGACGAGGCCAGGGCGTCGAGCAGGCGGCGCGGGGGCCCCCGGACCAGATGCAGCCCGCCCAGACGGCCCCCACGACTTGGGAAACTTTCGAGGCCGTTCCCAAGCGGCTGCACTGGCGTGGGAAGAACTCACCCGCCCCGAGGAGGTGGAAGCCGCCCGTGTGCTGGCCGGTCTGACTGCCCTCCCCCTGTCCTCCGAAATGCTCGAGGCGCTGGGAGGCGATCGACGAGATGATCCCATGGACGAGGCGCCGGGAGGGGAAAGGGGGGGAGAGTGGTTTTCCGCGGATCGGGTGGCGGCGGGGAGGCGCGATGTCGGCGGGGGGGACGACAAAGACGACCGCTCGTCGACGACGTCCGACGGAAGCGGCGGCGGATGGGAGAGCCGGGGCTGGGACGGGGAGGCGGAGGGACGCACGGGCTGGGAGGACTTTTCCGAGGTGGGAGATTGCCCAAGGAGACCGGGAGATGGGTTGGAAGAAGGGGCTCCGGGACGTCGGGCGGGTTGGGGGCAGGGGCGGGGAGGGGGGCGTCAAGGGAAGGGGGGGGATGTGGTTTGGTGGGCGTGGATCGGATGCCTTGGCGGGGATTCTGACGGCAGAGAGTGGTGGATGGGGGGGGGAGGGGCCCGGGGGCGGGCGGGGGGTTGTTGAGGGCGGCTCCGCGTCGCGTCTGACGGCTGGCGAGCGGCGTTGACGACCGCGGGTTGACCATCGGGCATGCTGGTCAACAGGGCGGGGGGGAGTTTTGCTGCACGGGGCTGGGCGTTGCTTCCGCCGGGCCGTGGAAAGGTCTAGAGGGGATGGGGGGGAGCCGGTCGCGGCGGTCCGGCGTCATGCCAGGTGTGGGTGGGCATGCGGCCGGGGCTGCATCGCTTAATCGCCTCCAACAGGGCAGGGGCACGGCCTTGGTCTGTGCGGGCGGAGGGAATAGAGTTATTTCCACCTGGCCATAGGTGCAGCAGGGAATGGAGGGTGGCCGGCGCCTCCCCTGTGTGCTGTGGGCCACGGTGGTTGCACGAGCGAGGTGCTTGACAGTGGCGACTTCGGTGCAACGGATACTAAGATGCCATTTGTCAGCTAGTTTCAGAAGCTGGGGATGCAGCTTTCGCGTTCTGCTTTGGTGCATACTCACAGCAAGGTCTCCGTAGGGCTTGTGGACACCAGACAAACAATCTCTTCTCAAACACCTTGCAGAACATGCTTGTCCTGAAATCGCAATACTCGTGGCACATTCAAAACCCGGGCACGCCCAAAATGTACAATGCTCCAGACACAGTTGATGTGCAACGGACAGTCAATGGGTGCCTTGTTGCATATCAAAACATATTGCCCATCGCCTTGATGGCGGAACTGTTGCTGTTTTGGGACACGGGCCACATGCCTGAATTTTCTCATGTACAACATCACCAAACCTTTTGCCCTTATGGCTGTGCTGGGGATGCCACAGGTGCCAAAGGGAGACAATCATGTCACCATCTCCAGGCTGTGTACTGGATATGATGGGATCAGGGGGAGACCAGTTGCTGATTGCATGGTTCTCCCAATTTGTTGCTCAATGGACTGCTGTAGCTCAGTGTGCTCCCTCCAGTACATTACGACACGGACCCCCATATCCATACGACACCTTCCTTTTAATAAGAATGCATATGGAAGATCGAACTCTGCAATAGATGACGTGCCCAACGAACTGTGCCTTTGTCTGCATCCAACAGGTGTCGAACAGTTGGGAAGAGAATGACACAGGGTCAACAGGGAAGGAGGCACTGGGCTGCCGCGCTGCAGTGTGGTGGAAGGGAGACAGCAGGTACTATCTTGGCAGGCTGGACGACTACAACAGGGAGCAAGGTTAGTGAAGGGCACAAAAATACTTGGAACTGGCTGGCCACTACTTATCATCGGTCTGCCTGAATGCTGAACTTTGCAATGGACAGCACCCTTGTCGAGTGCCCAATGAGCGATATGTGCAGTGCCCTTCCCAACAATTCTGCCTTGCTGTCTTCCAGAAATTGGCGTAGAGCCGCTCTGTTCCCAGCAATCTGCAATACAGTGCACTGCAACAAGACCAGTGGTGTGCATCTTGCATGGACTGTCATAATTGAAAGGCCAGTACAAATCAAAAGAGTTGGTGCAAAAACAGTGTGCCAACAGCGACTTGTCTTTCCTTCAACCAACATTACTGCCAATTCTAACCCCTCGTTTATCATCCGCCACCAAACTTGAACTTGTCCTCAAAAAATATATAGTTTGCACTACTGAAGACATCCTTGTGCTGGTATATCTGACTAAAGTGCAGCATCTTATGGGAAACTGCAAGCAATTTTGCGATCATGCCTGTACTCACCCGCTTTGCTAAGCGACAGCCATAGAACAAATATTGCCAATGAAAACCTTCATCACCTTGGTATGTGGTAGGGACTTTATGTCGATGTTTCAAGCTCCTTATTGAAACTGCAAATTCTTCAGCTGTTAGATTCTGGGGCACAGGACACATCATCTACCAATAGCTGACGATTTCCCGCAAAGCGAATGTGGAACTAGTTGGGTGCTGTAACAAGGGCAGCTCTGCTTAAGGCGACAGCAGTATCTTTTTGTAGTCATAGGACTGGCTTGTTCACGAGCTTTCTTCTATTGCCACCAGGGCACCATATCCGCTATGATGATGGTGACCATGAATGGGTGGATCTTGACAACGAGAGGGTCAGGTGGGGCTGCAAGCTGCCAGAGGTCGCCAAGGTTGTGTGCAATGGGATGGTGGGGGACTACGTTGTGGGGAAAAATGTGATACGTCTGAAAGATGGCCGGCGGGTATCCCCGTCACAGTTCGAGAGGGTGTCGGGAAGGGCACAATCGAGGAAGTGGAAGGTATGAACTACATGGACAGATTCCCCAGCTGCCATGATGCAGCCTGTCCGTCCGCTCGTGCAGGAATCAGTAATTTTCCACACTTTTCATCTTGGAGTAAAAACAAGCACAGCTTGGCCGACTGAATCAGCCAATCAGCCAAGCAGTGATGTTTCCACATCAACTTCAGGGTCACAGTGAAGTACAACAACCTTGGTGTGCACCTCAGAGCAGTGCTTCCCCCCAATAGCTGTGCTATACCTTGGGAATCCATCCCTCAAGCATAAGTTCGAGAACTGGGCATCCCAGCAGTTTGATGCGCTGAGGGCGTGTGCGACAGGTCTGTGGTGGGGCTGTGTTGTTCAGTTCTGGCAGTGTAGTGCATCATTGTCTTTCCATGGCAGTTTGTGGCCTTCACTTCAGACTGTAAGAGCATGATGCACATGTAGTTTTTGGCAACGGTTTGTGCTCTGCATGCTGCATGGGGTAGCAAAATAACCGTTGTTGGGAACATCCTGTTTGCTCCCCTGAAAACTGCTGATGGTATTTGGGCTTGCAAGCTGACACCATTCCAGCTGCCTGTTATTGCCTGGTAGACCTTCCTATGTTTAGAAGGGAATCCCGCACCTGCAATATTCGTGTACAGCATGGACATGTGCATGAAATACCAACATCTTCGAACAAGAACAACAACTTGGACATGCAGCCTGTCACTGCTACGTTCAACTGCACTGAATACAATCAATGTGCCATATGAATGTCTCTCATCTATCCAAGTGGATGCAGTCACGTTGCCTAAATACGACTATGGAACTCCAGGCCATTGCAACCACCTGCATGTCACCGCACCCCATCAGTCCTTGTATCAGTGAGCTAGTCGAGCGCACAGGTCATTGGCAGAGTGCATGCCCTAGCAACATGTCTGTTGCCGTAATCGCTGCCCATGGCTGTACAGGATAGTATCCGCATGGAGGAGGAAGGTTCTGTGGGCAAGAGCCTGGGCGCATGGCTGGCAGGTTATGGGAAAGAGGCGCCTAAGCCACCCAAGGCCTGCCAAGCCACCCAGCTAGGCCACCAGGGTCCACCACGCAAGAAGAATGTCAAGAAGAGGAAAAAGGTGAATGAACACACTCACACGCAGCTTCGCGAAACTCAATGGTCTTGTCTTGTTTCTTTAATGACTGGCATTACTGGGACAATGTCCTATTTAGCGGTGTAGAGCACCTCTAAAATGGATGGGGGGAAGTGCATTGGATGTGCTACAGGGAAACGCAAATTGCTGAGGCTGCATCGCACATACTCATTAGCTACATTGGTCATATCAGAGTATGGTAATCGCGGCCCGTGAATTTCTTGGCCAGGATAAGAGCTCTCCACAGCCACAGCCGTTTGTTCCCAAAATATTTTTGCTCCATTCCCTCGAGGTATGCAACCTGCACAAGACAGCTGGGCCTGTACCATGTTTGCTGGAATCGTCTTGAGTGTTGTGGCAACCTTTTGTTCCTCTGCAAACAGGCATGCGGTAGACATGGGCCATGGCCCCCTGGACTTTGGTCATGTTTGTGCCGTTCTCGCATGCAACCGATAATCCTCAACATAATTTTACTTGCTCTGCTTGCCATTTGGGCTTGCAGCCCCCAAGGTGGCTTGCAGGCTGCCAAACCCATTGTCTTTAAGGCCCAGAGCAATAGCTGCCCTCGTAGTTGCATTTGGGGTCATGCTTTCAACATTTTCAAACAGCCCTTTGTCATGAACTGTGACTCTTTTCCCCATTGCTGCTATGGACATTTCATTCACACAGGTCTTGCGTTGCGACCCAGTCAAGGGAATCCACCATCTGTACAAATGCCAAAGTCCAAAAGTCCAAAAACACTGCAGGTGGGGAGTCGGTGGATTGCCATCCCCATTGTGCGACCCTCCGCCCGCTTGTGTTGCGTGCTCACCAGTCCCTTTGGAAGATTCCACATCATCTTTTCACAGCATGGAATTGCGTCTCGCATACATTTGCCTTGTGTGGGGTGGGGTGGGGTGGTGGGTTTTGAGGAGGCGGGGGCCTTTTGTATGACCTGTTTTCCCTCGGAGTGTAACGCATGTTGCCCTATTTTCTCTTGGAGTGTAGCCCAAGCTGCCGCCCGTTTTCACTCCTAGACCTCCCCCCAAAGACCGTCGGCCCTCCCTCCCGCAAGCAGGGGCTGAGTCCGAGCTTCCAGCTGCCCGTTTTGTAGGCGCATTTTTTGTCACCCTCCGCCCGTTTGTATTGTGCACGCATCTCTTCGCACCGGGACACTCCGCATCATCTTTCTACGCCACGGAAATGCGTCTCGCGCATCGTAACCCTGTGCGTGACGTTTTTTCCGTTGGTGTGTAACACGCCTGGAACCGCGTTCACTCCCGACCGCCGCGATAACGCCCTTCATCCATTCCGCAGGCGAGGCGCCGTACGAGCTCTCCGCTGCGCGAGGTACAGCGCGGCGCAGCCAAGAAGCGCCGTCCCCCGTGCGCCCTCCCCGATGCCGCGACGGCCCTTCTCAAGGAGTGGCTCATCGCCCACGCCATGAACCCCTACCCGGATGATGACGATCGGTGGGCGCTGCACTGCGCCACGTGCCTGGAGTGGCCACCGATCGACGGGTGGCTGAGGCGGGCGCGGTCGACGGTCTGGAAGCCCCTCCTGCGCGCGGCCTTCGAGCGGCACGCTGGGTCCAGGGCGCAGGGCGGCGAGGGGACAGAGGGGCCCAAAAAATTGAAAAATGGCCGGGAGATGATGGCGGAATTTGAAAATTTGCAAAATGGGGGGGAGTTGATGCTAGAAATTGAAAACTTGAAAAATGGCGGGCTGGAGAGTTTGGAAAAGGGCGGGGAGGCAGGGGAGAGTTTGCGGCAGAGTGGGGAGAGTTCGAGTTCAGAGGGGAGGGCGTCTACACGGGAGATGGCGGCCGCACTGTCGAGGGTGCCTGGGGCACAGGAGGAGCTCGCAGAGGCGATGCGGGAGGAGATGGGGAGGAAGAGTGGGTTGGGTGCGGTGGCGACGAATTTGGCGCTCAAGCGGTGGATGGCGGCGCGGCTATTTCCCAAAGAGGAGGCCGTGGTTCCGTGCAAGTCCGGCGGCGTAGAGATCCCCAACACGGGGAGGTGGTATGACCGACCTGTGGCGAGGGAGTGGAGGCCCTTTTTGGAGCGGGTGTTTCAAAAGCCGTCGCAAGCAAAGAGGGAGAATTAAAGAAACAGCGTTATGCGGAAAACGGACAAAAAGGAAAAGGGAGATCCACAAACGAAGATGAAACGAGGGCGAAAGGAACAAAAGGAAAGAGAACAGAGCATAGTACACACACCCCATTCTTGACTTGGATCTTGACGTGGGCTCATTGAGTTGAAGTGGGGATAGTAAGATGTCATTCAACTTATCTCAGCAGGTTCTCTTATTGTTTGATGTGCCAGCGTGTGGACGTCTACTGTCTGCTCTAAGGGAGTTTGTGCAACGGCTCCAAGTTTCAAGGTTTGGCTCTGGAACCTAATGCCACGATTTTAGGACTAGTTTGGAGAGTGCAGAGCTGAGGAATGTCGTGCTTGAGAGGAGGAAGGGAAGTCACCCGCGTGTGGGATATGGCCTGAATAGTATGACAACAAATGCACAGGGCTTTCCTGTGTGTATGACATTAAATAGGAGACTATTCTTGTAGAGATGTGGTCTTAATGCGTCTGAGGAGTGACGAATGCAATATTGCATTCCTCATCTGCCATTCGCCATCACTGGCCGACACATATGTGATTGTACAATGGGCAGACACGTCCTTTGTCCAAGCACACGTTCGAGTGAAGAAACTCACCTGCTCTGGTGTCCGCAACGAAGACTGTTTGCACATCTACGTTCCACATAAATACGCCTTGTGAGTCATACTCTTCAATTCCGGTTCTGAAGTGCTCAACGTCGAGTTGCGCTTTTCCATCCAATTGAATGTGAAGCCTTGGCTCTGCTTCCGGCATTTTTTGCGTATTTTGTAGCGACGAGATCTCGTCGTGTCTAGACATCACGTCAGCAGTGTTTGCGATTACAGATACTGGGAATTATCAAGTGCAGCACGTGCCGCCAATTGAAATCGACATTGCATGTAGTGATGAAAACTGGCATTATGTCAATAAACTTCCCTCAAGCGAAAAATGTATCGCATCTCGAGGTGCATATTCACAACAATTAGCATTCAGTAGGAAAAGTGTAGCAGCTGCTACCACAACTGGCGCATTTCCGGCTGAGTCATGCTCAGGAGCTGAGGAGCGCATCCACAAGCTTGTGCACTGTACCGCCTGTAGCATCGCTGGCCACCGCCACCATGATCTTCTGCAGTACCCTGTTCTCCTCTGCACCGGCATGGTTCTCACGGGAATCACCATGACCAGCTGCTAACGACATCCGGTCCATCGAGCACAGCCAGTGGGCCATCGACCCTTCCCAAGCACACTGACAAGCGAAGGTTCCCGAAAACCTGGTAGCTCTTTGCAACCGAGGTGTAGGCGCCTTTTTGTGTCGAGGATGGGGCGCACATTTCTCTCAACTGCCTTAACTTTCAACCAGCCCGCAGCAGCTCCCGACGACTGTCGTGTTGCAAAATTGGTGCAAATGTCAAGGTCAATCGCAACACCCGAGGTCCATTAGGTCCCACCATATATGGCCACGGTAGATGGCCACCGTGGCTGCATATATTGTGGCCAGAAGCAACGGTGTACACGCATGGATGCTACAACGGATATGGGCGACGTAAGTGGAATGCAAAACAAGGAGAGCGTGGTGGCACCAGTGGACTCGAATTGACTATACCCAGGGCAACCCCGATTAACTATAGTGCAGTATCAATAACATCTGTCCAAATTGACGTGCCAGCACGGGAAGCGCTTCCATGCGCTGATAGATGACAGACACAGGAATGAAAATGAATATATATATATATATTTATTTATTTATATTTATTTATATTTATATTTATTTATTTATTTGATGTTTCTTTTGTCTCGAGTGTTCAATTAGAACATGAAGCAACAACATAAACGTGGGGTTGTAATTTAACATAATGGCTTGGTATTTAGTTTTTCCATTGTCGGCAGTCTACATTTCAGTCAAGCAGAGTGTATTCCCACCCAAGCAACCCAAGATTCCTACTGTTCCATTAGCGAAGGTGAGTTGAATCCAAATGGCAAACTTTTGTGTTCCCATTTCTCCCTCCGGTTTTCAAACTCCTTGCGTACAGTTACACAAGCCCATGAAGATAGACGACAATTAGCGAGTATGTTTTAACACAATTTCACTCTATTTCGGCGCAGGATTTCTACGGAAATGACCTGAAGGTGAATTTCCTGGGGAAGCTGGCGATCGACCTCAGCTGCAAGGTAATGCTGTCTCGCCCGCTAGTGTACTAGACATTCGAATAGGCGATCTGGGTTGCAGTTTCTAATCAGAGAGGGACCTAGAGTCACATTCGTTTTCACCGGCGAGATTGAACGGAAGCTGCATCCCGTGCAGGTTCGCCTCGAGTTCCTGCTGACGGTGGCCGACTGGATGACTAACCTCCGCGAGCGCGTGGACCACGAGTCGCGCCTGCTGCCCTACGTCCTGAGCGCCCTCAGCGACGAGTCGCCCCAAGTGGCCGAAGCCGCGGTTGAGGCGCTGGAAGCGCTGGGCCGGCAGTACGAAAAGGAGCACGAGGCGGACCTCAAGGACACGCTGTATTACTTGCCGAGGGAAGCGCACGCCGTGGGGTTGAGAGCCGATTTGGCGGCGGAGGCGGTTTGGAGGAGACTTGAGGAGGTTGGCAGGTGCTTGATTTTCTCTTTTCTGCAAGTGATTACATTCACTTTCTTATTAATTAATCTTGCTAATTGATCTTTTAGTGTTATCTTTTTTATCTCATTAATCTTCTAATTAATGCTTTGTTAATCTTGCTAGTTTCCTGATGACGGAAGACTGATTTTGCACCCGAAAGGGGCTTTGGGGCGCAAACTGCGCACGTAATGTGCGCAATCTCAAAACGCCGTTTCTCACTAGCAAAAAAAGGACCAAATACACGTTCTGCGAACACATATGTATGCATTTCGTCAGTGTTTTGCACACTAAAGACACGAATACAACACAAACCCGTGATCTTTGTACACGTTTGAACACGTGTCATTTGGCCTTTTTTCCCAGTGTCTGAAGCAAGAGGCAGTCAACTCCGCCGCAGCTCACCGTGCGTGCTCTCAGTGCATATGCACGCTTTTTTCACGTCCAATTGCTGTACATCGGAAATAAGCTGTGCACATTGCGTGCTTGAAGCTCGTGCGCAATGTCTCCCCTCTTTGTGTGGAACCTTGGAAAATGGCGGTCCTGTTCGTAGTGGGTTGTAACTACTGTTAGTAGTTAGGTCATGGTAGTGGGTGGTCGCATCGAAGCCCCCAAGCCGTAGCATCCAGCAATTCGGAGCAATTCTGCAACACGTTCATCACCATCTTCGAGAACAAATTTCAAAGGCACGCCTGTCGTCAGAACAAAAATATCCGTCGATTAAATTTTTTCTCAGGGATGCTGAAAACGTGGTCACCAGCTATCTTTCCAAGGAATGTGCAACTGCTTATTTTTGTACAGGATGCTGCAGTGGTGAGTTTTCGCCCACGAAATTTGATACCTCTGGTGCGTTAATGTGCCGATCCACTGCCGCTTGCGCATGTGCAGTGTCGCATCGATTCAGTCTCGAGCGAGTTGGACTGTCGCTTGAGGGACGCCTTATCGCCTTTCGACAGTCGCCCTCGCCTGGGTGCTCGCTTGCTAGTGCAGATCAATTTCAGTCGCCTGGTGAAGGCGCTGTCCTCAGAGGTGAGAAACACATTTCTTCTCAATGCATGGATCATCGCGCAATTCGTAGTATTACTGTATTGTATAGTATATCCATATTAATGTACAATGTGCGGCATTGTATTGTACATTAATTTGTCAGGACATTCGATGGTCCCACTGCCGTAGTTGTGTCGCGAAGCTACATAAAGGAGCGCGCTAGGAAGGAACGGAAATTTTCAGTCGCTCCATTCCATGTTTGTCGGTGTTGCGTGCCTATTGCAAGGCGACGCGCGAGTGGAATAAAGCGACTTTAGAAGTTTGACTGAACAGAATGGCTGCGGAATTCGGGCCTCGCTGTACCAACGCTGTTTATTCGCGTCTGCAATGCGCCACCTCCATATTCCCGTGAGGTGTCTGGGGGAGTGAATGCAATGTCGGACATCGAGCGCGGAACGCATATCTGAGAGGAGGAGAATGTTCCCTGTTGACTGGAACTGCCCATAGAATTCGTGTAAGTCCAAACGAAGGGACATTAGCCACAGAACTGAAATGCAGTTTGGATGCAGCAACTAATCCAGTCTGCCACCCGTCCCAGAGTTGAAATTGACAAGCCGCAGATTATTGGAAAGGGTATCGGCAAATTGAAAATCAGTGGATCAGAAAATAGAATGCCCGCTAATGTCGCCATGACAATCACTAGCAAAAAAGGGTCCAAATAGCAAATGTTTGAACACACGTAAAACACATTTCATGAAAGTTCTGCACACTGAGGACACAAAAATAAGACAACCCGTGAACATTGTTCAAGTTTGAACACGTGTTGTTTGGCCCTTCCTTCCCTAGTGAACGTCATGGTGACATTTGAAGCAGAGCATAAGCCTGATGCTCCATGGCATTTTATTCGAATTGAATTAGCGTTGCGCACAATGCATCGCGGTTTCTGGAAGCTATCAAGATTCTTGAAGCTTATAAGGATTTGGGTGAACAGTGTATGCCAGATGAAGACACAGATTCATAACAGCATCTACCTGGCAAGATGAAATAAATACAGATTGGGCTTGCGCGAATTATTAAATTCAGTTGCCACGTTTCATAGAATATGCTAGAGTAATGGAAGATTATAGTGAACTGCACGTGCATCCTTTTGTAAGCACCCCTGGATTGCTGCTAATTCGCCAGTGTTCGGCTATTTTAGCAATGGAATTTCGTTTGCCAGGAATGAGTAAACTATGCTTCAGAATGAAGCCGAGTGAATATGCATCTTTGAGCGTGTCTCGGAGACGTCGTGCAGTGCACGAGAATGTCAATATTTTATAATAAATCAGAGTTTGCAATCAAAAAAATTGATAATATATGCGAAGAGGAGTCCAGCTTCAAGGACCAGGAGGAGAGGGATGGGAAAGGGTGAGGTGGGGTGGGGT